TAAGGAGACACAGAAGAAACGGACAAAACTTGGAGAATGGCAAAGTTATTAGAAGCCAAAATCTTGCAATACAAAAGGACTAGCTCAGGGCTGTCAGAGCCAGATCATCTGACGCACAGACTTTTGCCCTTACTCTAGCTGAGATGGGAGGCATCCCCATGGTGGCAGCCAAGTGCCTGGGCAAGAGCCATACCGCTGAAGCCCCAGCAACACCGCAGGAAAAAAAAAACTGGCACTGCAGCTTGTTTCTGTGGCGACAGCCAACTCAGGATGCTGCACCTCTTTCCACCTGAGCGGCCCGAGCAGGTGCTGCACGTGCTGGATCTGGCATAGGGGCAGGCGAGGTCTGTGGGCCTGATCTGGCCTGTAGTGCCAACCCTGCACCATTCATTTGGCCTGTGAGGTCAAATGAGTTTGACATCCCTGGACTGGACTTAAAGAACACAGAAAGGAGAGAACTCGAAGGAAATATCAGACATATGAAGTAATTTTATAGGTCTTGGCAGTTAGGTACCCCTATTTATCTGGTTGCACTACAAAAGCATGCATGAAGAACTACAGTCTTGAGATAGCATATAGCGGGCATGAAGAAATTACTAGAATCTCCCAGAGATACCTCCTGGTTCTGAAGAAAATGTGACTGCACTGAAAGTCAGTTGCACAAGCAGCATATAAAGTGAATATTAACTGGCCACTAACTTAGGTTGGAAGTTAGAAGGTTTCTATCCTTCAGAGGAGTAAAGTTCCCTAACAGCCTTCCAATAAGAACAGAGGTGGGGAGGGAAATAGATTTTGATTAGTTTGTGAAAGGGATTGTATTGCCACAGGGATGTTCAACTGTCTGCCCATGGGCCACATACTACCCCCGAAGGGTTAGCATGCAACCCACTGGGCCCCATCCGCCTGGCTGCCCTCCACCTACTCCCCCAGTTGCTTCCGTCTTGGCAGCTACGAGGGGGTAGAGTGGCTGAGTTGCATGCATGGTAAAGAAGAGTTCTGCCTGCCTGCACTGCAGGTGAATGGTGGGTGTGGGCACAGCAGCAGAGGAGTGACCGGCTGCCTGTGCTGGGTGCATGTGTGTATGGGGAGAGAGGGAGGGAAGGGGGCTGGGGGAGGGGGGAAGCTGGGCTGCTCACACAAGCTAGGTACAGACATTCAAAAAGCCCAAGGCGGAATTGATCCAAGTTACGTGGTTTCCGTAAGTGGCATAGTTTAAATGGGTAGTGAACAGAACACACATTCGCTGTTTGGTGGGGGATGCAAATCTTAGACTGGATTCAGCCACTTTTAAACCAGTCTGTGTGTGCCAAACTTCTGTTCTGTTACGGGTATAGACTGGTTTCCAATCACTTATATGGGTAAAAGTGTAATGTCTGTACACCAGTGAGGGAGAGGGGTGGGAGCTAAGCCTCCCACTTGGTGGTGAGGACTTGGAGGGGAGGGAACAGAAAATGTCTGCCCATGTGTCATGTGGTCCTTGGGTCTGTAACCTGTCCTGTGTGGCCCCTGGGTTTGCAGCCCTCAAGGTTTGTGGTCCGCTGCTGTCCAGAAGTTGGACAGCCCCATATTAATATACTGTTTTGGTTATAAGTCAACCCTTTATTCCCCTCCAGAAAAAAACAAACATAGAAACTGAATTCTATCTGTCCACAGGGTCTACCTATAATCAGACCCCCAATCTTGACTCTGACACTTGCAGTATTTTTGTGCATGCAAAATACAAAATGATTTTTTTCGGTGCATTTTTTTGTTTTAGCATTTAGCACTTCAGATTCTTTCCTTGGTTATTAGACTCTTTAGTAAGATTTTCTATGGCAGTTCCAAGGACTTTATCTGTAGGGTTTGTCTGAGATGCAGTAAAAGCTGTTTTTCCTAAAAAAATTAACCTAAAAATGTTGACTAGGCTAACGTGCAGGGTCTGCTTGTAATTGGAACAGTATAACAGTTGCCTACAATAGCAGGGGACTGAACCTGATGATATGGGGGAAGGGGGGAGGCTTTCCAATCCTACGTTCTTATATAGCTGAGTCTACGCTTTGATGTATGAACTCTAACTGACACATGCAGATTTAGAAATCCATCAGTCCTAAAGAACCACAGACAGGGACATTAACTCCAAAGAACATGTGGTGGAAAGTTCCAAGAATACAGATGACTGCTTGAAGTACCTTGAAAAACGACACTTGCATCTGTGCATGTGAGTTAAATAACGTTTCTTTAAATTTCAAACAAACAAGAGAAGGCAATTTTGTTTTTGTTTTAACATTTCCTTTATGCAATAGGTTACTCCTACTCTTTTCTCATCAATATTTATTTTTACTTAGTGCTCCTGGTATCCATCTGTTGTGTGTTTTTTTTCATCAGCACTTTTGTATTAGTAACTTTGTTACCCTGATGAAATGGAATAGGGAGGTAGAGAATGAACAGTCAATCCGATCATTAAAAAAACCCCGCAAACCGAAACAAAACAAAACACTACATTAAAAATCTCGATCTCCTCATAGCTGTTAAGGTCAAGAGTAGGCTTCAAAAGAAATATAAAAGGATGCAAACTATAATCTACTTGAACAGCTACAAATCAAAATATTGCTTTGTAGTGGTAGCTGCTTTATTGCATTAAATGCCTCTTAAAAATGCCAACAGGCGAGTTAAAATTTGGGTTTCTAAACACTGTCTGCTAACCATTTTGGTTGCTATTCTATGAAGGGCACAAGTGGTGCATGTGGGTGTGGCAATGCACACACCTGAAGTTGGGCTAGCTAGGTCTTCTTTGACCACTGTTGTAACAAGGGAGGTAGTGTTAAGATTTTAATTTGTTAAACAGCTTTATTCCCAGGTAGCTGACCATGCCCAGGACCACCTGTCAAGGTAAAATCATCATTAGGGTTCAATTCTTTAAAAAGGTTCCTCTGATTTATTGGATTTTGCTCATAAATGCAGTATTTTTTTCTAAGCAGTAACTTAGATTTAGAATCTATCTAATGATTAAATACCAGATCAGTCATCCCCAAACCATGACCTTGCTTTTTGCCTGCACCAATTCATATTTGCTTTGGTAATTTTAAGTAAACCCTCTAAAATGTTCTAAAACCATTTCAGCAAGTCAGCCATATCCTGATTCTGTGCCCTGAAAAGAACAAAAAACAGCAGCAATTTTCTTTTAAGAAACCTGGGTATTTTATCTGCATAATTATGTAATGTCTTAAATCTGATATTTTTCTCTTATGCTCATTTATTTACAGTGTGGAACAGACATACTGGTCAAAAGTACCCACTTGATTTTAATAATGTTTAGGTCCTGCAACTCAAAAACAGCTTCTCAGGTTCACCCGAGGTTAATTCTAACAAATCTTGTTTGACAGATAACTAACCATGAAAAACTTCAGGTTGAAAGTGTCTCTTTTTAACCCTTCTATTACCCATAAATTAGAGTGGGATGCAAAGGATTAAAATTTGAACTGAGTTTCTCTTAATCATGTAGACACATAATAGTGACTTTATGCATGGGGTACATATTCAAAACAAGACTAATCATAATTAAGAGGCTGTCATTACCATATATCATAAGACTCCTAATCAGCAGTATAAACATCTCTATTTTTGGTGAGACCTTGAACAAGGCAAGGGGGGAAGGTGGTGTATTTTTAAACAGAAGCCTTGTAAACCGACACTGCTTGGTATATATAAAGTCTTGCTTGTTTTGCCAAGTCTAATCTGTTATGTATGCTGCTCATAGAGAAGAGCTGCTAGGGAAAAGATGACCCTGCATGATATGATCACACAGAAGACAGACTCTTTGTGACAATTAATTTCATTATGTGTCTCTGCTGTGTCTGTCACCTTAAAAATGAGGTATTGTATATTCATTGGGGGGATGCAATCTAGTATGCTCTCACTTTGTAAATACACAAAGCACACAACCTAAGGAAGCCATGTGGACAGCCCAAAACTACAAGATCTTGGACAATAATAAGTCATGGCAGGTAAGAATGATATTTTAATGTATATGAATACTGATGTCATAATTTTTAATGGTCATCACCACTTGTTTTCAGACTTGGATAAGGAAATTTAAATCTCAACTAAACTAAGCAATCTTCTAGGCTTCAGCTCCATTAACAGCAACTTCAAATTGAAAAGAAACGTGCAAAAATCTGTTCTAAATTCTTAATGCTATTTCTGTACAAAGAAGCTGCAAGTAAAATGCATAAAACAATTGTAATGAATGATTTTTTTGTGAACTGTTATAAGGCCATGACAACATTAACCAGTTAAAATGCTTAGCAAGGACTATTTTGGGCTTTTAACCAGAGTGCTTTTAATATTATTCAATTATAAGACAGCCAGGGAATTTTAAAGTGCCCTGGGTCCAAAGTCTCAAACTGTCACATTCTCAGTTACAAGAAAGTAACAAAGACAGGACAAGGTATCAGTGTTAGGTTTGTAATCTGATATCTTGCAAAAACTCAAGGCTCATTTTCCCAATAGCATAGGGCAAATGTATCATGAAAACAGAAATGAAAAGGCTATGTCATTACTTTTCTTTCTTCTTTCTTTCAAACCCTCTTTTCATTTTGACATGGTTGCAGGAATATTATTTTCTAGGAATAAACCTAGGGAAAAAGTGCTGTATTTGAAAGCCTGAAATGCAGATTGTTTGTTTGTTTGTTTTTTAAACAAAGCATTAATCTCCATTTTGGCATTAGCTGTAACAACCCATATGTAAGTGCATTTGTTAGAGTTGAGTAATTCAGGTGTTTTGCTATGAATCCAAGGTTATGACTTAGAGCCTGAGACTGTCCACTTCCCAGTTAAATCTGGTATCAAATGGGTACCCAGTCCTTCTTGCTTGGGATGTCAAAGATGTGATGTAATACAATACTTGCCACATGACTTCCTTATGTTCCGCTGACTACAGAAAATGGCATCCTTAATCTTGCTAGTGATGCGCTGACTGTGCTCAGAGCAGATCTTTGACTTTGTAAAATGAGAGCTACCTTGGAAACCATAAGTTTTAAATGTAAATACCTTGCATATCATGGCAAAAAATTGTGAGGTAGTGTTACTAAGTCCTCATCTTAGACCATGGATCCAAAGGGGAAAAACACTGATATGTGCTATTTTCATATTCTCATAACAAAGAATTGATTAGGCACATATTTGTTTTTAGCATATTTTGCAATTCCAGAATTTTAAAAGTGGTGACATAAAAAGTAGGAGAGGAGTTTAAGACCTAAACGTAATAGCTGGCATTTCTTAAAAGAATAGGAAAGATTTATAGATCATGCCAAAATCTGAATTTCATTAAATAGTACAAGTATGTAACCATTTCCCCATTTCAAGGTCTCAGTCAAAATATTTACTATGCTCACAACTGTGTTGAATTCCAACTATATTTTTGGAAATCTTAAGAGCATGTGTCAAAGTTTGGTGAGATTATTGTTGGACATAGACTGACAGCGCTTTCTCTTGTGCTTTTTTAGAAGAGAGTACCTGTGCGTTGAGCTTAGGGCACTCTTGATTCTTCTGTCCTTGATTTTGTCCTACCGCAACAGCACAGGTGGCAAACAGAGTCCAGAGACGCAGGGCTTGCATACAGGCTGCCAACAAAAACCAAGCAAACCTCTTTAAGAAATGGTCTGCTACATTCTCTGCTCTTTAGCATTTTTGTTGTGCATAAATAAAAGCATGTACCCAGACAACAACTTTTTAGATCCAGTTGAAGTTACCCATATTTTAAGCTGTACTGATGCACATTTTTCATCTTTATCTACTTAAAAAAAAAAAATCTATTCCATAACTCCATCAACCTATTTTTCTTTTTTTAAGAAATGTGTACTGGTTTGAAATCTACACTCAGACATTTATATAACAGACAGTATACTCATTTGTCAGAACAAGCAGGCGTAAATAACAGGGCTTGATAACTCTGGCTTAGAAATGCAGGCAGAAAACAGCACCAGTCTTACTGACATGAACAGCACACACTTACCAGAGGGCTTTTCTGGAGCAGCTGCCGGAGCAAAAGAAAATTCTTCTTGCTTGGGAAACATTAATATAGCAGCACAAGGTGCAGTTGAGGGCGTTTCCAAATACAGCCTGACTAATCCCTGTGCAAAAACCCCAGGGTCCTGTGACGCATATCAGCAATGCACGGCACTTTATTATGCTCAGTGATACAGCCTGACCGGCTTAGAGATGATCAGCTGGTGTACCAACAACAGAACCTTTGACCTTCACTGAATGAACAGCTTTCATGGATGCAGCAGACAAATCTGGATTGCTGTAACTGAGGAAGGTGCTTGTTCCACAAGGCAAAGGACTATTTCCTTGGTATATTTCAACACTTTCCTTACCAAAACATCCTTGCTTACAACTCATTAAGGGAAGGGGTACACAAATGTGTATGTACAGGAAACAAATTACAACAAACTACTTAGAGAGTCATTCCCTTGGCTTTAATTATGCATGTGATGACAAAAGAGGAAGTCAAGGAGCCTTGTTTGTCAGGATTTTTTGGGAGACGGGGGCCCCAACGTGCTTTCAGCAGTTTGTTATTAGGCACAATGCCAAACTGAAGAAAACAATAATTGGGTGAGGGAAGGGAAGGGAAAGAATAACACTTTTAAAGGGAGTTATTTTTATTGTAAAAGAATAAAAAATGGAGAAGGCTGGAGAAATCAGAAGCTTGTACATTTAAAAAACATGAAATGTGTGAGGTCAGTGCTTATGACAGGTTTTTGTTCAGCAGCATTAGGCAGAAGTTCTCCCATACTACCCTATGATGCTGGCTTAAACTGAGATTTTTTTTTTTTTTAAGTCCTCAGGCCCTCAGAACCGAAAGTCATCAGGACAGTAGACACTATGGCGCTGGGTGCTATTTCTGCCAGACTGGATGAGATCACATAAAAGAGAGAGAGACTGAAAAACAAAACCCTGCACAACTGAATTATAAAGCCTCATCTATGCTAAAGCTGCATCTAGAGTAGGGTGAACTGTGTCCAATCGTGGCCTGAGAGAACCAGCTTTAGGGAAATGCCAACTCTTCACTCTCATGCCCATCATTCCCTATCCTGACAATGTTACTAACAAGAAGTAGTTAATCACTGTTTTAATGGGGTTTTTTTGGTGGAGGAAGGTAGGGAATCAGATGCTTGCCTCCCGACTAGGAACCGAACAAAACCTATCTTATACAAGTTGCTAAACTCTTTGTAGGCAGAGTTATTCCAGGATACATTCCAAATATAATGCAACACTGCAAAAACCACACACAATAATTCAGAAACTTTGTTTAGATGGATGGTGGGTTATATAACCCCTGTTTCTGTTACCATGATAGCTATATTTTTCTTTTTATATGGATACCCATGATATGCTCATAATTGTTTTTCAGCTGAAGCTTGATATATGTTAATATTCTGACCAAGGCTAAATAATTTTAGGATTAAATTTAGCAGCTCACAGTAGAGAGTAGGATTTCTATTTTAATGCATCTGTGAATTTGTAGAAAGCTTTCTAGTAACTGAATGTCTATTAACACAATATTTTCACTCTTTATATATCTGTGACATCAAAATGGAGTTGAGATTAATTCAGTCTGCAACATACGTAGGGCTGTTAAGACTCAGTGCTATGGACTGAAACTGATATTGTAATGTGGAGTCAGGTTTGTAAACAATGGAAAGAATGATGGGCTATCAGCACAGTGTGTGCGCTGCTTGGGCATTGCTTAGACAGAAGAAAATAAAACTCAGAATACCAACAATTTGGAAAGAAAGTTAGCTTGTTTCATAAAATTGTACTCACAGTTCAGCCTGTCATTCTTCCTTATTTATGAATCAAAACCGAGCACGTTTACAGAGTAAAACTAACAGCAATTATATCTTATTAATGTATTGACACACAGAGAATGAAAACAAGCTAGTAAACAACATTACCAAAACATTTCCTAATTCGTAGGAGTATTCAATCCTAGTTTGTAGAAAGGTTAACAATATTGGATCTCTTAATACTGTAAAAATATCACGGCTAAAAATGAAAGAGGTAAACTGCAAATATATTTTTCACGAGAATTTTTTTAAAGGATTCTCTCTCATTTATTATTGACACAAAGCACTCTGCCCTCTGGTTATAACATGGCTATCTGGCTATTTATTATTGATCAAATCTAGGTCCTGTTGACCATAGTGGGATCAGGATTTGGCTTAAATTGCCGTCAAAGAGAGAAAAATACAATCCCGATAAACAAAGTCCAGCGTGATGTCTGGATGATCTTTATTTTCAGAGTATTGAAGGCCATTTTAAAATATTTTAAGTACCACAGAGACTAGGGAGGGATAATTATTTCAGCAGATAGGTTCTATTTTAACTTTAACTCTGGCTAGGGAGAAGAGCAAAGATTTTTGTGGGAACATTTTAGCTGTAAAATATTCTGAGACAAATCAACAGAACAATAAGTTATACTGGATTCTTTGTTGTTTGAATGTTAAATGAAAATATGTTAGGTTGCATTTTCTGGTGTTGCTTTACGTCCTTGTCCTTTAGTTAATAGGTAGAGAAATTGAAGATCCCTGCCATGAGGAATCTCATGAGAGACTGAGACACTGAATGTGTTATTTCAATCTAAAGCAAAGAAAAATCTGTCTTCTACTGCGCTGCACGTATACTTCAAAGCTCAGGTTTCATTGGGTCATTGTCTTCTCACAAATATTACATAATATATGATATTTTTACAGTAAATGTAAGGAGGCTGTACACATTATTTTACTTCAAACATTGGGTAACTAAGGTCAAATAATTGAAGAAAAATTTTAGTTAAGGCTTATTATCTGTTGTAGATATAGTTTGCACATTTTAAGACATCGGATATTTTCTGATCTTACATAACAGTGGATTAAAATGTGCATGCTTAGCCTTCCAGAGCTTCAAAACTAACAGGCAGCAGCAAATGGATGAATTCCGATCAGTAAACACCCTCCCGTGAAGAATTCCTTCTCTGAAAGTTGCATTTCAGGTAGGTTGAGTGCTACCTCCGCCTTAATGTTCAAGTATAAAAATGAAGCAAAAAAGAGCTACAAAACATCTACCCGAGAAGCCAATCTAAATCTTCCCCTCCACCCCCGTAACTTTATGGATAATACACCTGCATCTTGATTCCAGCACTATATTTGAAACTCTTTCAGGTAACAGTATTACAGGAAAATGAGATGGGAGGGTTAGCTGGAGTTACTATAAAACTGCTCTAATGGGCAAGCTTGCAGGAATTCGGGATTCAATGCTACCTACTTTTCCAATAGAAATTTGGAATGTGGAAGAGAGATTATCAGTCACATCAGTGGAGGAGAGGAAGCTGGAAAACACTAACAAAAGGATTCTCTGGAATCACAACCAGGAAAGAAATAGGACGAATTGGAACACTTGTTTAAATTTAAAAACAAAAAGTAGCTCATAAAATGTAATGAGATATGCAAGAAGATATTGACTAAGTAAAAGGAGATTGCATGTAAAGCAGTTCTGCTCTACTTAATACTTGTCATGTCTCATTTAGAGGCAAGGCAAGAATTAAGTAGATCAAGTGCATTAATTCTGGAAAGACTGTAGAAAAAAGAATGGTGCAAAAACAAGAAAGAGTAAGTCAGTAAAATCACAGTATGAGCAAGCTGAATGTGCAAGCTTAACTTAAATACCTGGAACATCTTTTAAGCTACCAGACCTTACATATTTACCAAATACATTGCTACAAAAGGTGAGGAATCACTTTCAGAGGTGACACTAAATGCATTTTTTGTTAGGGAAAAAAAAGATCAAACTGCCTATAATGAAGAAAAAAAATCAAATGCATGTGATCTGTTTATTGCCTTTTCCAACCTAATTACTTACAGGAGTGTATCAAATTAATAAATTGCCTCCCATGGCCTCTGATCCTCACTGCCATACATTTGCATTTTCACAGAGCTGCATTTTGCATATTGGCTTCTATTCCATCCAGGAGAACACGACACCAGCAGACTCTCCCTAGCCTGACGAAGGGTGTTTGTGCCCAAAAGCTTGCAAGGAACAATTTTTCCAACTATTTAGTTGGTCTAACAGAAAACATCACATTTACCCAAAGGACCTTGTCTGCCTGTATCCTTAGACAAACAAGGCTACAACCAATACCCTCAAAACATGTAAGATACCAAATTTTGTCATTTGAAATGGAAACTTCACAACACGAAGAAGAAAGAAGCCAAATTCAAGTGACATATATTTTGTAAGCCTATGCAAGAAACACAAGATCATTCCCAGAGGACTGAACATCTATAATTCCCCGATTACTACACACAACTCCAAAAGTGCTTCACAACTATGCAGGAGAACTTCAGAAAAAACTTAGAAATCATCTCATTCACATGACCTACTCCAAAAGAGATCAACCCAAGAAGGAAATCAACACATGCTGAAACAACTTAAAAGAGATGAATCTAGATATTTTCCCAAACATTATATAACGTATACAAAGAAACTGCCAAAGGTTTTTTTTTTTTAAATACATTCATCCAACAAAAAGAAGAAATGGAACCAATTATTACCTGAACAACTTTCCCAGTCACAAAAAACCAGAAGAGAAACAACACCAATATTACAGCATTCCAACCTCATACTTGATAAAACTGAAAAAACCAATCAACCCTCAAATATTATCACTCTCTCCATGCACACACTTACCAAAAGGTGAAAAGTCTGTCCTCTTTAAAGGCCTTAATTTCCAACCAGAAAAATACCCTAATATGTACTATGATGTGGAGAACTAGAACAATTTTTCTGGCATCTCCATCTCAAGGAATATTTCCACCACCAAAATTAATCCACTTCCAACAACACTTCGTCCTTTGACAACATTGAGGAAACAATCAACCCTCCCCAAACCCCCAAAAATCAGATTGGACACCTCACAGTGGATGAAATTCAAACCTTGACTGCTATATTGACTTCTTCAGGGAAAGAATGAACAATGGAATAATCAATAAACACCACCATAACAACCTCTCTGAGAGAGAAGGGCCATAGAATCTCTAAGATCCAACCACCAAATAGTAATGAAACCAGCAGATAAAGGAGGAATTTTAGTCATCCTTAACCATGAGGACTACATAAAAGAAATCAACAGACAACTCTGACACCACCTACTATGAAAAACCAAAGATCCAACTCTGCTTTTCACCTTAAAACTCAAAACTACCATCAAATAATTCCCATTTGAACTACAAGAAAAACTACAGAACTTGATCCCCCCATTACTCAACCTAGAGACTTTTTACATGCTACCTAAAATCCACAAACAAGAGAAACCTGGTAGACCTAGAATATCCAACCATGGAACTCTAATTGAGGAAATATCAGGTTTCATCGAATCCATCCTAAAACTTCTTGTGACCCAAAGACTGAGTTTTATCCAAGACATACATTTTCTATGAAAACTTAAAATCATAGACCACTTTCCCAGCAACATACTCCTAGCCACCATGGATGTTACCAGCTTATATACCAACATCCCACACCAGCATGGCATCCAAGCCTGCCTCACATATCTACAAGAGCAAGATTACAACTCAGAGTATAGACCTAAAGATATTACTAAACTTATATGCTTTATTTTCACACACAACAACTTCACTTTCAATAACCAGGACTTCCTCTAGACCATGGGCACAGGTATGGGCACCAAAATGGCCCTACAACATGCCAACCGTTTTATGGGCCACCTGGAAGAATTCCTCAAGAACTGCATCATCAAACCCATGCTATACTTAAGATATATAGATGTCAACTTCATCATTTGGACCAAAAACCTGAATCTCTGATTGAATTGGTGATGGAAATCCATAACTGTCACCCCTCTATCAGACTCTTGAATACTCCAGCACCATTTCCTTTTTAAACAGTATGATCAATATCCAGAATGGTAAAATACAAACTACCATATACAAGAAACCCTTGGACCAACATACGTATCTGCACAGAACCAGCAATCACCCCCAACACACCAAGAAACTGTAATATACAGCCAAGTCCTCTGATACCACCGAATTTGCACCGAGAACACCTGTGATAGTCACCTCACAAATCTCAAAAGGGCTTTCACTCAGCAAGGACACTCTTCCAGAGAGAGAGATCACACTTTTGAAAGAGCCATATGGATACCACATGAAGAATTGTTGCAGCACAAAAAGAAAATCCCCATAAACTGCACACCATTAGTTATGACATACCATCACTCCCTGAAACCTATACGGAAACTCCTCAAACAATCGGAACCCATACTAGAAAGAGACATAATTTTAAAAGAGATTTTCCCAGAACCACCCATCCTAACCTTTAAACAAGCACCGAACCTTGCCAATCTCATCACCAGAAGCAAACTTCCTATGGCCAAAACACACCAAATGGATCCAGACTATGCCATGACAAGAAATGTAAAACCTGCCAACACATCTCCACCACTCCCACAATAACTAGACCCCACAACAGCACCATCAGCATTCCTGGATCTTACACCTGCACCTCCAGAAATGTAATATGTTCCTGCAATTCTATTCTGTGGACAATAGTATCTCAATAAATAAATTATTTAGAAAAGTGAGGTTATGTGGAGTTGAACCCTAATTCAGCAAAGTAAGCAAGCATATTTTAAGTATGAAAAAATCTCACCAATTTCAAAAGGCTTCTTCATGTGCTAAAACTACCTTTTTGAATGACAGCCAAAATTAGCTGAGGTTATGGAAAATAAAAGGAACTATTTGGCACTTAAATAATTTCTCAAGGCAGCTTCTTGGTTTGGCAAAAAGCCTACAGAACAAAATGTTTGCCTGCTACTATTGGTAAAGTATGTTGGTAAAATTCTTAAGTCTGGTTTGTTTTTCCCCAAGTGTCACTTTAACCTTCCAGGAAGCAGTGATGTTTTAAGCTAAATGTTTGGCTATAAGGACATAAAAAGGATGCCAGTCTCAGGTTCCCTGTGTCCCTGTGGGAATCCATGTTAACAATTTACAGGACTACAACTTCTGTTACAAGATACCACCAAAGTAGTAATGAGGGGGAAGAGTGATTTTCACTCAGTAACCATAGATCTTAAGAATGCTGACTGCTAAGTGACATCTTAGAAAGCCAAATGGCACATTAATTTTTAGGAAGGGAAAAAAGATACTGGATGGCAACAAAAAAACATCCTGAATAAAGACAGAATTGTGGTCTACAAGACAACTCCAGATGGGGCAGAGGTAAGACTGACCACAGAAACTGACATGGATTTTGAAATGTGTTATAAATAGGCTAAGACCAACCAATGAAGATAAGAAGTCAAGGTTCTGACCCTCAGTTAATGGAGACAAGAAGAAACTGGGCCAGGATTCTGGTCCTACATCTGAACCTAATTCTTCACAAGGTGGTGTGGAATTAGCCCTAAGAGTACTTTCTGTATAGGCTCCCACTCAGCCCTAACAGCAGATGTGAATCTTAATAGGGTGAACCTATAAGTGGGAGAAAAATAACTTTACCTCTTCTGAAGTCCAAATATACAGAATCTGTTTAAATGCTGTTCATGTCTCCTTGTCTGATTAGCACCAATCTGCTTCTCTTAATACTTCCATTGTAATGGAAAACGAGTCTTAGAAGAAGCTGATCTAGACTGGCTGTTACACAGCACCAGCTCCTTCAAGGAGAAAAACAAAACAAACCATAAAAACAGACTTTCAGCCCAGCCTCTCCTCCTACAACACAATTCTTATGAGAGGTAAGTGCCTCGATAAATACAAAATAGATGCTCAAATATTATAATATGAATATCAGGATATTGCAGCGACAATCGGCAATATCAATATTCTGCTACTGTAAGTTGTTACACACTTCTTGTAACTACTTAAACACTTGCACATTACAAAAATGCAACTTGGATTCACAAGACTGATGATTTTCATCAACTTATACCTTCCTGGTTGTATGAAGAACTTTTTCTAGTCCAAGATATACACGTAT